ACAATACCTAAAAGTCTTGTAGTGAATACTTTTATGTAGTGACGTTCTTGATATGTGGCATTGTGTGGCTGTACTACTTTTTCCGATATTTGTCCTTTGACTACAAGAAACCAACTTCTATACAATATTTATTTATTCTGTTTATCTGTTTTATAATATATGCTCTATTATTAGTTCTGCTTATTCATCTATATTGTAAACTAATATAAATGTAATATTTTTGTATTTTGTGTCCTCGCTTTTCTCTCTCAAGAGCTTACTTGTGTCTCTCACAATAGGATTTTTATAAGATATGTTAAGTTGCATGTATATAATGAAGGATTCAAGAATGTGACATCAAATGCTACATTAAATAACCAAATTAACATGTCCTTGTTAGGTTCTCTATTAAAAACAGAATTACTAGATGCAACTCATAGTTGTACACATATAACACAGTAAACATTTATACATTTATGGAGTTTTCAGTAAAAGTCTATTTTCTTTCTATAATTGTAAGTAAATGCACTTTAGGCTTCACATCAGTGATTCTTAATATATGGATCGAGACTAAATTGTGTCTCTATGCCATTTCAATTAAAGGTTTAAAGGGAAACTGTAGTCACCAGAACAACTTCAGCTTAATGTAGTTGGTCTGGTGTCTATAGCCTGTCCCGGTTGACTTTTTTAATGTAAACACTGTCTTTTCTGAGTCACTCAGACGACCACTAGAGGTGCTTCCTAGGTCAGTGCTGCACAGTGTGTAGTACCGACATTCAGCATCTCTACACTCTGGAGGAGATGCCGATTGGTGCAGCACTGCATTTTGCCATGCATGCGCAATAGCCTCTCGATTCTTTCCATGATGATTGTAGCCAAGGAGGCAGAGTAGCCATGACTAGACTGGTGCGATGCTGAAAAAAAGGTGAGTAAAACAACTTTTTTAAAGAAAGCGGGGAGGGGGGCAGCAACTTAACTGTATTTTCACAAATATATTGTCAGGAATACATGTATGTATGCCTATAGTGTTCCTTAAAACATGCACACAATATTTATTAAGGTTCAGGAAAATGCCCTTAATTAATTGTTTTCTGCAGTATCATTACCTTCCTAAGTATAATGAGCCCTTGTTCGCATTGACAAAAGTCTAATGAACATTTTTTACAGAATTTATATTAAGATACTAAATTACAATGGAAGAATTGGCCACTGGGATATTTTCCTATTGAACAATGGTTTATCAAGTTAACATTATGTACCTAATTTCGATCCTTATCAAAAATGGTTAAGAATGTCAGTTTTATAAGCTTCTTGCTTCTCCAATATCCTCATATCAAGTCTCAAGTACTATCTTGTTTTCTGTAATGTGCATAAAATGAGAATAGAAAAGTTATGACATTATATGTATTAATTTACAAAAACATGGTTCTGAGAATATTTCCATGCATTTTCCTATTTTTAATGTACAGTTATATTCCTCATTGCTGATTTTTCTTTAATTTCCTGTAGGGAATAATTCTCTTATTGTTTCTATATTGATTTTTTGTTTATTATGAAACTCCTTTGCCAAACATTTCTCTCAAATTTTTATAGTGTTATGTAATGTAATTATGGTTGTAGTTCATGACTATAATTATGTAACCTTTTATACAAAAATCTATTTTGCACTTTTTGTTAATTAATTTTACAATGCCTAAGATTAAGCATTAGGAGTATTAATTTTGTAAAACATTTGTTGGACCTTTCCTCCACTGTATTGTCTACCCCAGCTGGAATTGGCAAGTCAAGAAAGTTTATATTGTTGGTCTTAATTTTAGTGGTCTTTTGCAATGTCAATTTGTCAAGACATATAAGAGTATAAGATCATGAGAATGAAACATAACAAAATGAGAAGAGAAGCATTATACATTTTAGTCCATAAAAAAAAAAAAACTCTTTTGGCAAAATAATGGCCTTTTTGCCAATTGATGGCACTCTTATGGAAGAGAAAAATGTGTGTGAAGTGTGTCCTCTTTTTTTATTTTACAAAAAGTTAAGCTTTCTGTATAACTTGAAACTTTTATAAATAAAGCTTTTTGCATCGGCTTTTTCTCATGGTTCATCTGGTTTTTTTCCCATCAAGTGTTGGAGTCCAATATCAGAAAGATAGCATATATGCCAAAAAGAAATAGGCGTACCATGGTGTATATGTATACGCAGTCATATAGCCACTAAATATGTGACTTGTCTATTTTTATGCCACTGAACTCTCTATAACAATCTGAGAGCCTTTGGACAAGTTCAGAGGAGCTACTTCAATCTCATGTCAAAAAAAAGCTAAGAAGGAAATAGATTAAATGTCTAATCAATGTATAGTATGTGAAGTTGAATTCAAAGGATGTTGAGGATCCATGAGAACAGACATCATATGAATATGCCAAAAGCACATAGATTCTAAAAACATGTCTGAAGGAAGTAGAAGATATTGCTGTACTATAGGTCTCAGAGACATTCCATCTAATTATGGCAGTTTAATGGAATATATATTACATTGGAAGACTATTAAGCAAGCTTGTGAAGATTATCTGGATAGCTAAACAGCAGATAACACTTTTACTGACTTTTTTATTCCACATTGGCAGTGATCGCTAGGGGCTTTAGCTATTATACTTTCTTCAACACAAACACAGCTATTTATACAATGGAATGTGGATCACCCCAAGTAAAGCAGCTCTGTAACCAAATACTATTTAAGGTATTTATGAGCAATTCATAAAGCTAAAATCTTTATGATAAACATAAAAACTGGGGCGTGGCTTGGCCGCACGAGACTCGAGCTCCTAGGCCCCAACCCGCAAAAAGCCTTAAAACACGGCACTTGGCAAATGACGAGAAAATGGGGAAAACTAAATGCCCAGCCACCCTAGGACCGGCTCCAGCTGCGCAGCTCCGACAGCAGCCCAGCCCCATGGATGAATACCTCTCCACACCTCAAGCCCTACACGGCACTTGGGACCGTGACAATATGACGCCTACCTCCCCTGGTTCCGCGAGCATAGCAGAATCAACACCGGACCCCCAGGACATGGATGCACTATCCCATATTTCTGCAGACCTGGCAGCCATCTACGCGACCATGCTCACCCGCAAAGACAAAGCTGAGATGGTTGGAGAACTCCGGTCAGTCATATGAGAGGAAATCGCGGCGGTGAGGAGCGACCTCATGGCCCTGGAACACTGGGTAGACAACCTAAAAGTCGACCACATGCAAGCAAAGCAGCACCGCCAAGCGGCAGACCTGGCGGCCACCAGGCAGGGCAACATCATTCTCGACCTCAGGAGACAGGTAGAAGACCTCGACAAAAGGGGCAGACGAAACAATATTCGGGTCCGAGGCATCCCAGAAACAGAAGGGGAAAACCCCCATGAAATGTTCATGAGCCTGTTCTCCCAGCTATTAGGTGACGAGGCACCGCCAGACGTTGGCATCGAGAGAGCCCATCGAGCCTTGCGTACCCCCAGACGAGACGGACTACCCAGGGATGTAATCTGCTGCTTACTCTCTTTTCAGCTCAAATAATCCATCATGAGGGTGGCTAGAGCACAGCACGATGTCACGTTCATGGACACACGGGTCTCGCTCTGCTAGGACCTGTCCACGCTTACCCTGGACGCCCGCCGGGCCCTGAGACCGATCACACGCCTTCTGCAAGAAAAAAGGATCCTATACAAATGGGGATTCCCGTTCAGTTTACAAGCCAAGGTTGACAACCACTGGCATACCATCCACTGGCCTAACGATATACCACATTTCCTATGGGCAACTGGCCTCCCACATGTCACCGTCCCAAATTGTATATTCGAGGGCCCACCGGCAAGAGCCTCCGGCCCCAACGAGCCTGGTCACAACCTCCACGGAAGCCAGGAACGCAGGGCACAGCGACTCAGGGGTGGCCCAGTCGGTCCAGAAGAATAAGAACGACCGTTAACCCCCTGCCCACCCCGGCCGTCTGAACCGAACATGGACCCAGCCCACAGACACCCATACACAGTTCAACAATCTAGCCAGGTGAACCATAGCTCCGGGGGTATGTACTTTCGTTACCACACACGCAACCCTCACCCAGACACCACGCTGAAGGTAGTCTATGGGACTCTGGGACTGGGGTGGGATAAGGTACGCTGGGACCACGGACAACACAAATGTATAGAAACCAGACATGGGAGGAGATCGACACAGGTTTTGGGCCTGCTGCCCCTATTGGTAGCCACGAGGCTGGAACACTTTCCCTTGGGACACGGGCTGAGACAACATGGATAACAAGAGGCCAATAGCGCTAACGTTCTCCCCTGCATCACAGGACTGTGGGTGGCTGGGTGGAAAGGGGGAATAAATATAGGGAACCGGAGGGATGAGGGCCTTGGCTGGCATCCCACTAACATACATAACCATCTTTAAAGACATTCTGCTGTCGAGAATCCTCACAGGCCTCAACTCGATAAGCACAGACGGACGGTTCCCTACCGACACTCTCACTGCGACTGTGACGGTCATACCTAAGGAAGGTAAGGACTCGACCTGTTGCTCAAGCTACCGACCAATATTGCTCCTGAACGCAGACTTAAAGCTCTTCGCGAAGGCACTAGCACTCTGGCTCATGCGGATCCTCCCAGACCTGGTCCACCCCGATTCATACCAGGTCGTGAAGCGAGAGACAATACCATAAGGGCCCTTAATGTCATCCATCATGCGAAACACGCTGGGAAGGATGTGATACTCCTTTCCACTGATGCCGAAAAGGCTTTCAACCGAGTGTACTGGACTTTCCTAGCAGAAACCTTATAGCACATGGGCTTTGGCCCTACCCCGTGGGCCGGGGTTGCGGCGCTATATACCACCCCAAGAGCACGCATACACATCAACGGCGCGCTAACAAAACCTTTCCCCATCCACAACAGCACCAGACAGGGATGCCCCCTATCACCCCTCCTGTTTGCCCTCTCTCTCGAGCCTTTTCTTGAGGCGGTCCGACGGGGGAATCATGGGGCAGGTTGAACATCAAGTGGCTGCCTATGCGGACGATATTCTATTTTTCCTAGAGCAGCCGAGAACCTCCATTCCAAACCTCCTAGAAGCCTTCCGGAAGTATAACTTGGTGTCTAACCTAAAACTCAACTTGAGCAAATCTGAAGCTATGCCAGTGACGAGAGCCCCCAAACATCTACACAAACTCCTCTCGCAATTCCCGTTCAAACTCCGTGAGGACAAACTTTGATTCCTCGGAGTCTGGTTGCCGGATGATCTCACACTCCTATACCGAGCAAACTACCTCCCGATCCTAACGACACTGCAGAATGACCTCCACAGATGGTCGTCCCAATACATATCATGGTTCAGCCACATCAGCATGGTCATGATGAACGCGCTTCCCCGCCTAACGGCCCGCGATACACGGCCTGCGAAACCCAACCATCCCACGGGACACAGGTTCTAGTATAGGCACCCACGTACTCACATCCACAAACAGAAACCCGGCAGGCATGGGGACATGGGATTGGAGGTCGAGAACCAACCAATCCCGTCAAACTTTAGAAGGAAATAAGACCAAACACTACAAACTCTAACAACCAACGCTACAAACATCCTAAAACTAGTAGATGTAGGAACACGTTCTCACGCACTTAGACTGTGATGGCTCACAAAAGTCAAGTAACGACCACTGGGATAGCAAACACCCTAATAGATATTGGCCTTCTATTCAGCAAACAAACTAGACAGAGCAGCTACTCTCAGGTACGTGGCAATATCACTAGCCAACAAATAACCAATAAACACTGTACACCGACAAATAGCCACAGTTAGCGAGAAGAATAATGTCAAGTAAGCACGAGGGGAAACTAAGAAAGAAGGCACCCAAGTCACGATCGCCTGTAAACAGCCAGCTAAATGATACCACATAACCTGTTCTCATGTTCAAGTTATGTCAAAGGCCTGCGTGCCTCACATTGTGCTCTCTTCTGAACAAAGTATTTAATGCTGAAACCTTAATAAAAACAGATTTACACAAAAAAAATAAACATGAAAACTTTTATTTATGTTTAGACTTGTGCAGGTCAATAAATGTCAGTTCTTCCAAAAAATGTGTGTCGGGAGCTAGTTGCACCCCCAGCTGACTTTGTCAGCCCAGAACTCTATTCCAGACTGGCAAATGTCAATTTTGTGAAAAAGAAATGTATTGCCAGCTGGGCAGAGCCTGCAAGGGGAAGCATTTCTCTCCCTTTCCTTAGTCCCTCCTACTTGAGGTGAAACCCTACCACATCCCTATACCCTCTGTTATTTTTTAACTTGTATTTTACTCCCAACCCTCCCCTCTCTGTGAGAAGCCTTTGATTAAATCTCACAACAGTTACCATGGCATCAGACAACCACAGGTTTCAGGTTAGTTTCTGCTTTTGTTTAAAAAAAAAAAAAAAAACAACAACATAAACATCATTTTAGCATCTAGTGGGATACTAAAGGATAATTACTTGTTGATTTAATATAAGACATAAAACAACTGGGTTGGTGTAACTCTTAAAATCTATCTGTTCATGCATTCTTCATTTACACATTCTTCAATAATACAAATAAAGAATAATGCATATCTCAAGTTATCTAATATTGTTTAATGTGTAGCAGATTGCAATAAATGAAGTACAACATAAATTGATGTATAATAATTATTGGTTTAAAAAAAACATTTAAAGAATGAGATGATTTTGGAGAAATTATAGTTATAAATGTTACAGGACATAATGTTCTACTAGGACGCTTGGGGAAACCACAAAAACAAAGATCGCATCACATGATCATAAGTATAACTTAATAGGAATATTTTTTTTACTAATAGTTAGAATTTTTTTACTTTAATACACATTTATGACAACATTTCTGGAATGCAAGGGTCTTCTAAGAATATTTGCCAGCCTTGTACTTTCCTATAGCAGTAAACAGGACAATCACAGTTGTAGGGCTATTGAGACATTTACAATGTCCTGGTTAAATTCACTCCTGGTGTGTAGGTTTTGGACCTTCTAGGCTTGCAGTCAAAACTAACTTCTAGATCTCTGTAGTTGTGTTGGACTTTTATGAATTGTGAACATTGCAAGAGAGGCCATAAAATGTACCCTTGTACTGTATTGTAGTATTTTTTGCTACCAAGCAATGACCCTGCCATCTGCTTTAATCTGGTTTAAGATGAAAGGTACCCTAGATCATCATCTGTAACTGCTATGGTTCCCCTATGTAACAGTCACCTGGGGACTTATGGAATAGTTTACCAGGAGTTAGAGCCCAGTTGCAGGAGATGTCACAAGGAGGAGACAAAATCCAAAAACACAGTACAGATAAAGGGGTAATCCAAAAGCAGGGTCAGACGTCAGGGAGAAGCAGAAGTCAGGGCTGGCAGCGGAGTAACGTAGCCGGTAAAGCAGGCAGAGGTCAGAGTCCAGGAAGCACTAAAGCAATAAAATCTAAATATAGACATATAACAACTTAATAATCCATTATAATTATATACAGCAAAGTTTATATGATTAAAGTATATGCTAGCAATATCAGTAAAATAGAATAACATACCCTCTTGAACAAGTCAACCTCTCAGTCTTGATAAAATGGAACAGCGTCTCTGCATCCAAAATTCTCCCCTCTGCCTAATATTATTAAGTCCTCATATTTATACCATAAATTTTCAATTAGGTCATTTAGGAAAAGAGAAAATAAAATCTAGAGATGAGGTCATGACTATTAAATGACATGGGGACATCTTAATCAGTCTATTGTCATGCCATAGACATCCTAAGCTATGTTTGGACTAAAACTTAAGGTAGGACTAGATGTAGGTAAGGCTTGGTGTCACATTAACCTAACATAAGATGGTGCCTTAAATTATAAACATCTTGTACACTGAATCTGGGTAAGAGGTCATTTATTAAATATTGTAGGAAAACCAATATTGTCCATTTCTAACAGCTTTTCAGACAAAGACAAAGTACACAGTTCAAGAAATACAACTTTTCATTCTAAAAACTTGTAATATTTGTTTATGCCCATAACACTACTATACATAGTTACACAATATTATCATGAAAACTAATACTTTATTTTTTTCATCTGATTTTTTTATAAATAGCATAAACAAGAACAGATTTATAGAAAGTGACCTTTGTCAGAAATGGATATTCCACGTTACAAAATACATTACCTTCAATATCAGAATGTGTCAGTTGAGTAGTGAATTCTTATTTACTAGATCTCATGACTATACGTGAATGGAAATCAAATCTTTATGGCCAGTGGAACATAGAAACCTCTCTTGATATGTGTGAAAGGCAGACACCTATAAAAAAGAATAATATAAGGTTGACTATATATGAAATCCAAATTAAACAGTTGACACACCGCACATTTGTTACAATAAATATGCAGCATACAACATTGCATTATATAAAGTAAAGGTTAACTTGATTCTACAGTACACTTATACAATAACTCATTGCATTTTTGTATTTTGCAAATCCTTGACTGTGTAAGCTTATCTGTTTTAAGCTCTTACCAACTGTTCAGTGTTCTGTGCTTTCTTCTACATCATAATAGAAATATGAAGAAATAGCATGATGGCTCAAAAAGCAATTTCTCACACAGTGGGGAATGCAAGAGCTAGCATTATTTTTCCAAAAAAGGAACTGGTGATGTTCATATATTAAAAGCAGAATTCTATTTTACAGCATGGTTTTCTCATCACAAAATAACAGAATTATTTTAAATAATTTAAATAAGTCTGTGTAGATAAACAATAGATTTTGATCCTCTTCAAATTGTAATTACATTCCTAATTGATTAATCCCTTAAGAGATCTCAGCTTCCCCCTATATGTGTGGGGGAAACAGAGGGCTATAATCACTACTGTACAGAATAGAGCTATAACCACTGGAGAGAAAAATAACCACTGCAGCCTAGTCCAGTGGAAGAGGTCCTTAGAGACCCCAGTGTCACAAGAGCTGTACCCCAACATGCAGGAAAGAGGAAACCCACAAAAGGTGGATCCAAAAGGCATATTACTGAGCCTTAGAGTGGCCGGACTTAACGTATTAATATAGCGAGAATCAAGGTGAAGGATGCAGAAATACACAAAGTCAAGACAAAGCCGGATCAGGATACCAGAATATACAAGCCAAAATACAAAGCCGGGGTCAAATTAGAAAAAATAAAATGAAAAGATATATAGCTAAAAACAGTACTACCTGCTATATATCTTCATTTTATTTTTTAAAATTTTCTGCCTAAGTTTGCTGCTTATACTTGAAAACCTATGCCACTTCAACACACCATGTAGTTTGTATGATATGCCATACCTGTGCAACTTGCAGTAATTATGAGGGCAGCCATGACAGTTTGATGCCATGTACTTATAGTCTATATATATATATATATTTTTTTTACTAATAAAATTACACTTTTTTCATATTTCCGTTTTTCTCTGACTTATTTGAGGATTAACCATGTTAGTGCGGACTATGGTTTATCTTTTGGGACTTATTGTTTAACATTGGGAAAAGTTAACCCCCTTTTTTGGATTTTTTTGGATTTTACTCAGAGATGCGGCAAACGCTGTGAATGGGATGACATATCGCATTCGCTAATCTATTTTACAAGTACATGCCACACCCTGTCCAGCTTAGGTGACAGGCCCTGAGGTGCTCCAGAGTTCTCTGGTGGAGCAAAGTAGCTATTCTAATGGAGGTACTCAGCTGGAGTACAGGAACACCTTTTATCGTTTATATCAGTTATCAGGTATTAATACAATTTTGCAATCCCTACTTCCAAAGTCTAATCTGTACTAAACATGTAAACATTTTAACAAAATATTTAACTTAGTAGTTATGAAATAAAACATTACTTTGTAAAAAAAAAAAAAAATGTGTGCACAGCTACATTATAATACTTGTGTGAAATAAAAACTATAATTTGATGTTTCTTTCAAGCATAAATTTTAACAAAAACATTTTGTGTTAAATGGTGGACAGTTCTGTTAAAGGAACACTGTAGTTACCTGTTCAATGTTTAGGAAATCCTGGCCCCCTCCAAGTGCATGAAAAGGTTAGATTGACTTACTTTTCTCTATCGCCCTGCCGTTCTCGCCATAGCTGGCCCTGCCACCATGGCTGAGATTATCAATCTTGATGACCTCAGCCAATCCAATGCAAAGAGGCAATTGCACATGCTGTGCCTGTCTGC